CTCTCCCCAGCAAACACAACCCCCACACACAGAAAGAAAACTACAGCCCTCTCACCCGAACCTCTTTGGGGCAGGCAGAATAAAGGCACAGTCCCCCAAAGATGTCTATGTCTGGATCCCATCTGTGATTATGACACTTGACCTGGTCGAGAGATCTTTACAGAAATGACAGCGTGTCTGGACCTGAAGCGGGAGCTTATTCTGGGCTCTTCTGTGCCCTAAGTAGTTAAGAGAGTGTGGCAGAGGTGTGGGGACGTTATGAGCCCATGCCCCCAGCCACTCCAGAGAATGAGGTGGGGAATTACTTGAAGCCAAGACCATGAGGACACTGTGACATTGAAACGTATTAGATGTTCAGGACAGTGGAGTTGAAACATATTAGGAGTTCAGAACAGTGGCACTGAACATAGTAGGTATTCAGGAAACAAAGGGATAGGCCTTGAAAACTGCCCTAGTATCTGGCCCATCGATGTTACCTTATTTGGCAAAAGTTTTTGTATTTTAATTATTATATATATTATATATTATAATAATATATTATAATTATATTATAATATTATATTATAATAATATATATTATATATATTATTATTATTATTGTTGTTGTTGTTGTTATTATACTGTTTTGTTTTTTCAAGACAGGGTTTCTCTGTGTAGCCTGACCGTCCTGAAATTCGCTCTGTAGATAGGCTGGCCTCAACTCACAGATCTGCATGCCTCTGCCTCCTGAGTTCTGGGATTGAAGGTGTGCGTCCCCACCACAGATGGTAAAATGAGGCACAGTGTCCTGGGGATTGTCTCTGTGGCTCCAGGAGCAGTCATATAATACAGGAAATGGGGAAGACTTGATGGGAACAAGAGAAAGAGATGTGACAAACTGATTCCTGCTGTCTTAAGACACCAAGGTGAGCTGAGCGGTGGTGGTGCATGCCTTTGATCCCAGCGCTTGGGAGGCAGAGGCAGGCAGATCTCTGTGAGCTCGAGACCAGCCTGGTCTACAGAGTGAGTTCCAGGACAGCCTCCAAAGCCACAGAGAAACCCTGTCTTGAAATAGTGGTGCAGGGGTCTTTCCTAGCCATCCTCCATGGTGGATGGATGAAAGTCCCAAGCTAACATGGGATTAGCTCGTTAAACAACTGCAATAAAACCTCTTGCTGTTTGCATCAAAAAAAAAAAAAAAAGAAAAGAAAAGAAAGAAAAAGAAAAAGGAATAGCGGTGCAGGCCTGTAATACCACACAGGAGGTGTGTGTGTGGGGGGGGTAATAGGACGACCAGGAGATTGGGGCCGGCCTGGGACACCTGAGGCCATGCTGGACTCAGTGATAGTATTCTTACCTAGAATTTGCCAGTGAAGGGCACCAGAACTCATAATGGATGGTTGTGAGCCACCATGTGGTTGCTGGGAATAGAACTCAGGACCTCTAGAAAGAGCAGTCAGTGCTCTTGACCTCTGAGCCGTCTCTCTAGCCCGAGCAGAGTGCTCTTGACCACTATCCCATCTAATTTCCACATTGTTTATTTTATTATTATTTTTACTTTATGTGTATGGTGTTTTGCCTGCATGTATGTCTGTGTGAGGGTACCATATCCCCAGGAACTGGAGTTGCAGACAGTTGTGAGCTGCCATGTATGTTTTGGGAATTGAACCCAGGTCCTCTGGAAGAACAGCCAGTGTTCTTGACGTCTGAGCCAATTCTCCAGCCCCCCACACATTACTTTTTAAGGGTCTACTTCAAAGCTAAAGATCCAATTTCTTTTGAAGTATCTGCATGACTAATTCATTCAATGAAGAAGACTGGGAGCCACTACCTCTGCACAGCTATTACAGGCACCTGTTGCCATACCAAGGACCTGAACCCAGGTCTTCATGCTTGCACAGCAAGCACCTTACCCACCGGGCCATCTCCCCAGTCTAGTTTGGTTTTGGAGACATGATCTTACTATGTAGCCCAGGCTAGCTTAGAACTTGAGGGAATCCTCCTGCCTCAGCTTTCCAAATGCGGCAGTGACAGTGCATGACAGACAGGCATCCTCAGGAGTTTCGAATATTGAGGCCGTGGTGGCTTGAATGAGAAATGGCCCCATAGGCCCAGGTATGTGAACACTTGGCTCCTGTTTGGTTGGTGGCAGTTTGGGGTGGTTTTGGACCCTTTAGAAGGCAGAACCTTGCTTGGGGAAGGATGGGAGGCTTTACAGCCTGACCCTGACCCTACTTCCAGTTCTCTGTGCTTCCTGGGAGTGGCTGAAAATGCGAGCTCCCAGCTCCTGCTCTGGCAGCCTGGTGCCATGCCTCCCCTGCCTTTCTGGAGTCTTCCAGTCGCTCTTGGTCATGGCGTGTTATCACAGCAATCAGTAATGGGTACAGATGTCGTCTGATTGGTTTTCTCTGGCTGCCTTTTCTTCTGCTACTGTATTTTATACATCATTGTCCAATCTGCCTGCACGAAGATTTTCTCATTTTTGTATAAAACTCAAGAACCACACACGCCCCACAGTGTTCACACACAGTTCACTTTGTGACACCAGATGTGTGGAGGTTTCCCACACATTCATCAAGAAATGCCACAGTCAATAAAGATGGGTGTCTTATAATTTAACCCCACCCTGACCTGGAGATAAATAGCCTCAGATGCCACAGTTAATCGGCTTGGTTCTGCAGGATAGCGCCCAGCTCTGCTGCTTCAGGGCCAGACTTGAGTTTCAGGTTATAAACTCTTCCCGATTCCTATGGGCTTTCCCTGGTGTTAATTAATTTGTTAGGAAGGTTCGCATAAGTGAGGGAAACAAGTGGATATGTTTATGAACTTAGTATGTACATTCCCCAATATATGATGGTTTTACTTACATTTTAAAAAAAGAGTTAAGCCGGGTGTTGGTGGCGCACACCTTTGATCCCAGCACTCGGGAGGCAGAGGCAGGGGGATCTCTGTGAGCTCCAGGCCAGCCTGGTCTCCAGAGCGAGTGCCAGGATAGGCTCCAAAGCTACACAGAGCCAAAGCTTTGTAAACCAAAGCTTTGAACCTGCCTTGAAAAACCAAAATATAAAAATAAAAAGAGTTAAACTTTGTATGTATGGGTGCTTTGCCTGCATGTATGTCTGTGTACCATATGTGTGCTGGTTCTAGTAGATCCAGAAGAGGGCCTTAGGTCTCCTAGAACTGGAGTTACAGATGGTTTGGGGCTGCCATGTAGGTTTTGGGAATGGAACCCTGGTTCTCTGGAATAGCTGTCAGTGCTCAGCAGTCATTGCTGAGACATCTCTCTAGTCCTCATTTACTGTGTGTGTGAGTGTGTGTGTGTGTGTGTGTGTGTGTGTGTGTGTGTGTGTGTGTGTGTTGCTGATGATAAAATCTAGAGCCTCAAGCATGTAAGGCAAACACTTTACCACCAGGCCATGCCCTAGCTCCACAATGGTGAGTTCTGCTGAGTGAGCCACACCTCCTCTGACCTCCACAGGCACCAGGTACACACGTGGTGAACGTTTATACATGTAAGCAGAACACTCACAGAAAATAATTAACTAAATGTGGTGCTGGGAAGAAAAAAAAATAGGTGAAGGTATCTTCTGCGGCCAGGCCTGACTTGAATGTGAAGCCTGAAGCCCACATGGTGGAAGAGAATCAACTCTTACCTTCACACCTGTGCCCACAACATTAGGCCGGCAGGTGAGCATACGAAAGACACACATAGATATAAATAACGTATCGAAACGACTGAAGAGCATGCCAGTGTGAACCTGCACAGCATACACATGTGCACACAGACATATACCAGACAGAGACAGAAGGAGACAGAGACAGCACAATATAAATGGACAAGGACCTGGGAGGTGGTGGCACATGCCTTTGATCCCAGAACTCAGGAGGCAGAGGCAGGCGGATCTCTGTGAGTTCAAAACCAGCCTGGTCTACAAGAGTGAGTTCCAGGAGAGCTAGGGCTGTTACACAGAGAAACCCTGTCTGGAAAAACAAAACAACAATAAAAATGGACATGGTGGCCCAAACCTGTAATCCCAGACTTTGAAAGGCTGAGGCAGGGGGCCAGCTTGGGGCTACAGAGTAAAACCCTGACTCAACAGAACCAAACCAAGAAACGTGACACTGACCACTCACTGACCTTCTTCTTGGGCAGTAGGTCACAATGATGCAGGAGAAACTGACATTACAAAGGATGCACCGAGAATCTTGGTTAGGAAATTCTCAGTTGCCCAAGTTCAGATTCACTTAGACTGTGCTGCCTCTCATATGACTTGGAGATCAGTAGTAGACTAGTCAGACCTGTCAAACTGTAGGGAAAATGATGTACCTTGAACATAATTGCAGTTTGGACCTACTGAGCATGTGTTTCTGTTGAGATTGTCTACTAAGATTGCTTCCTACTAGGCTCCATTCCCATATCAAAGAACATGTCTCTACCTGGCAGTTCAAAGGGTTGGCCACCATTGAGTTCTGGTCTGCCATTACGTCCCGGTTCTCTTATCAGGATGAGGTACTTCTGCCAGGCAGGCAGGACGGCCCTGGGTAACACCAACCCACAAGGAACGATACCCGTATATTCTAAAAGTAATTGTGACCATAACTTTGCTGTGTAAATCTCCCGATTGCAGAAAATGGCCAGGTTTGCAGTCTCCTGTCTGTTTAATTGCTGGGCAATATTTGGGGCTATGATCTGAAGGAGATGTACAGATGACAACGTACGTGGGAATCTTAAAGCCTAAATCATGTAATCCCTTACTAACGTCCATTTTAGACTACTAAAGTATCTTCTCGGGGCTGGAGAGATGGCTCAGAGGTTAAGAGCACTGACTGCTCTTCCAGAGGTCCTGAGTTCAAATCCCAGCAATCCCATGGTGGCTCACAACCATCTATTATGAGATCTGGTGCCCTCTTCTGGTGTGCAGATATACATGGAAGCAGAATGTTGTATTCATAATTTTTTAAAAAAGAATTTTCTCCCCTTATTCCCAAGTGTCTGGAGTAAATTCTCATTGGAGGAACTTAACCTGTCCTTCAACAGAACCCTGCATCCCTACACTCCTGTCCCTTGCCCTGAACTAAGGAATGTTGCAAGGGAGACCAGAAGAATCTGAACCAACAGGTTTTCCTGGGTTTCCCCACCCAATCTGTTAACAATCCTGCCTGTGCAGCCTTCATAAAACCTCAAAAGGGCAGGACTGGGAGAGTTTCCAAACAGCTGAACTTCCTGGGGGCAGAGGCCCACTTGCCTAGCAGGTACCTTGGGACAGGTTCAATCACCAGGAATACACACACACACACAGACACACACACACACAGACACACACACACACAGACACACACACACACACACACACACACACACACACCACACTCACACACTCCAAATAGCCAAATAAATATATCACACAGAGATAAATCTTTCAAAAAAAAATGCCTAAACAATGAGGAGGCTACAGGATTGCGTCCTCAAGGCTTGTCCTGAGTCCCATCAGTTGCTTAGCAAATTTAAGCAGCCTGGAAGGTGGTGGTTAGTGTCCTGGAAGGTGGTGGTTAGTGTACTGGACAGTTTAACTGTCGACTTGACACAGCCCGGGGTCCTCTGAGAAGGTAGCCTCAGCTGAGAAATTGCCCAGAGTAGATGAGTCTGTGGCATGACTTGTCAAGAGGGCGCCTTTCCCTAGGCTGGTGGTCCAGGGCTGTATAAGAAAGCTAGCTAATGCTGGCCAGTGGTGACGCACGCCTTTAATCCCAGCACTCGGGAGGCAGAGGCAGGCGGATCTTTGTGAGTTCGTGGCCGGCCTACAGAGGTCTACAGAGAGAGTCCCAGGACAGCCAGGACTGTTACACAGAGAAACCCCGTGTTCACAACAAAAAAGAAAGGAAGGAAGGTAAGCATGTGCCCAAACAAGCCAGCTGGCAGTACTCTTCTGAGTTTCTGCTTGAGTTCTCGCCCTAACTTCCCTCATGATGGACTATCACCTGTAAGGTGAAATGAACCCTTTCTGTCTAGTTGCTCTACTGGAGTGTTTTATCGGAGCAATAGACAGGAAAAGAGAACAGCTGGGACCCCTGTATCACCATAGCCAAAGTATCCAACAGGTACCCTTCAAGAAGGGAAAATCGATTTGGGCTCAGGATTGCAGCGAGGTCCACCCTAGTGTGGCCAGAAGGCAAGGAGGAGCCACTCAGTTCTTGGAGGTGCAAATGTGTAATGGAGCTGTTCCCACATCACGGGCCAGGGAGGCGGCAGCAAGATAGGAACCGGGGGCGAAGTCTGACTTTCAGAGGCCTGCCCCCAGTGGCCCCTTCCCTCAACTTCCACAGCCTCCCACGTAGCATTGCCAACCAGAGAACAAGGACTCCACGGCAGGAACTAATAGAGGACTTTGCATACTGGAGGGTTAGCACAGAAGCCACATGCCTGGTATCCAAAGTGGGAAGCAGAGTAAGGATCTGAGAGACAGGCAACGTGACTAAGACAGTTCAACACCACTAAGTAGCCAGTTGGTGTTGGTTCAAACTTTGAAAGTCTGACCCAAGCCATCGTTTAGGCATTTTTTTTTGAAAGATTTATTTATTTTATGCATGAGTGCTCTATCTGCATGTTACCTGCAGGCCAGAAGAGGGCACCAGACTACATTACAGATGGCTGTGAGCCACCATGAGGTTGCTGGGAATTGAACTCAGGACCTCTGGAAGAGCAGCCAGTGCTCCGAACCCCTGAGCCATCTCTCCAGCCCCCCCGCCCCGCCCCCCGTAGGCATACTTAAGCACAGCACAATTTGGTGAAAATTTTCCTGATGACAATAACTCAATTCCATGTGCACAATAAGATGTGACAAGCCGGGCGTTGGTGGCGCATGCCACTCGGGAGACAGAGGCAGGGGGATCTCTGTGAGTTCGAGACCAGCCTGGTCTACAAGAGCTAGTTCCAGGACCACAAGCCACAGGTTCCTCCAAAACCACAGAGAAACCCTGTCTCGAAAAACAACAAAACAAAACAAAACAAAACAAGATGTGACAACAGGGGCTGGAGAGATGGCTCAGAGGTTGAGAGCACTGACTGCTCTTCCAGAGGTCCCGAGTTCAATTCCCAGCAACCACATGGTGGCTCCCAACCATCTGTAATGAGATCTGGTGCCCTCTCTGGCATGCAGGGATACACATAGAACATTGATCACATAATAAATAAATAATCTTAAAGAAAAAGATGGGGTCAGTAGACTGAATCCATGTGACACCACAAAGATGGGTTCTACAGATTGACAAACTCATGATAAGGCTTGGGGGCAGGGAATCTGGTGTGGTCTTGGGCCGCACCGATAGCTCAACGGTCATCAGGCTATTAGTCACATCCGTTCCAGACTTCTGGGCTAAAAACAAACATCTCTCCCTTTGAAGAGACAATGTGTGTTTCACATTCCTGGTTACCCTGTGCTTATCTGTGAGCACAAGAACCTCTGTGCCTCCCATACACATGCATTTGTAAATATAATATATGTGTGTTTATATTTCATTTTAAAATAAAACTATTTCAGATGAGTGGGTGTTTTGTTTGTTTGTACGTCTGTGTACCATTTTGTGTGCCTGGTGTCCATAAGAGGTCATAAGAGGGTGTTGGATCCTCTAGGACTGGAGTTACAGATGGTTGTGCGTCCTAGGAATCCAACCCAGGTCCTCTGGGAAAGCAGCCAGTGCTCTTAATTGCTGCCCCACCTCCCCGGCCTTTATTTGTGGTAGGAAACCCTGCAGAGCTCTGCAGCGGGTTTGATCCTGGAGTGGAAGCACCTAGCTTTGATCTGTCTTTTGTGACTGTTACCTTTTGTGTCCAATACCTGCTGTTTGAAGTATGTGATTTATTTATTTATTTAGAGACAGTGTTTCTCTGTGTATCAGCATTAGCTGTCCTGGAACTCTGTAGACCAGGCTGACCGGGATCTCACCTGCCTCTGCCTCCCGAGTGCTGAGATTAAACGCTTGTGCCACCACCAGCCCCCACCTCCCCAAGAAGTACTTAGATCTTATCTGAGAGTTTCTTAAAGGTTCAAAGCCTATGCAAAACGTGGTTGCAGGAGGACTCTGCAAACTGAGATGTCCCAGTGGCAGGGAATTTGCATTGGCATTGTCTCTTTGGGGAGTTTTGATAAGAGGTTTGGGTTCGGAAATTGACTTGCTAAAGGTGTGATTTGCATAACAATAATAATAAAAGCCCTTTGCCAAGCTACAGTCAGTTCACCAGAGGTTGACTGCCCGTTAGCTGCCACAGAAGGCTAGAATTCATCCTAAAGTATCTCTGTATCTTCTTTCCACAGACCCTCGTGAACCCAACATTTACTTTTCTGTTTTTTTGTTTTTTTTCTTTTCTTTTTTTCTTTTGGTTTTTTCGAGACAGGGTTTCTCTGTGGCTTTGGAGGCTGTCCTGGAACTAGCTCTGGTAGACCAGGCTGGTCTCAAACTCACAGAGATCTGCCTGCCTCTGCCTCCCGAGTGCTGGGATTAA